ACGTGAATTTTTTTCGTACTGGGAATCCAGACTAAATACGAAGTTAAATAATTTCAAGAATTTTATCGTCGCCCTCTTCATTATGTGGTTCATCAGCTCCCAGTGCCCCCCCCCCCCTTTTCAATCGCGTCTGTCGCACTAATCTTTGCGCATTTCGATTTCCACAGACTTTTATTTTCCTCGTGTTAATATAAATGCGAAGAAACTCACTGTCAGTTTAAATAGAGCGACCGCAAATCGGCCAGAACCATCTGGTTCGTTGACTGCACAAAAACGGTGCCAATTCTCGACCTACGCAAGTGTTTTCCTTTGCCTCAGACCCATTTCCTTCCAGCTGAGCGTCTGACCGGACGCCACGTGTGCCGGTGACCTTCGAACTTTGAAGCGCACAGGCAAAATGACGAGTTAGGAAGCTTGTGTCCAGCTTAAGAGGGGAAGTGAACAGAATTTGAGAGGATTTTAAAGCAAGTGCTAAGGAGCTATGTTACCTACTGTTAAGAGAAAGTGACAGATCACTGGGAAAAATACATAACAAGGAACTTGTTAATTTGTATTCCTCGCCTGTTATCATCATCAGGATGATTAAATCAGGACGAGATGAATCGAACTTCATCTGGCATAGGAGGAAAATTACATAACGTTTTGGCTGGAAGTGTCCAGGCTGTGGAATATTTAGGCATAGGTGGAAGGATAATATTAAAATAGATCTTGGGGGAACTGAGTTTGATGATTGAGGTGCGCCATGATGTGGTCTGGTCGCTGCCTTATGTGATCACGGTGATGAGCATTCGGGTTACATAAACGTAGGGAATTTCTTGGCTCGCTGAGCAACTACCATCAGCTCAAGGAAGACAGTGCCATGCATTCGTTTGGTTTAATAAGTTATTACGAAGCCCTGACAACGTACACCTGCAAAATTTATTTACTGTCCAGTGAAATTATAGAATGTTTCGTGTGGCGAAATGAAAAATATGGGAGACGCCTTGTCTTGTCATATATTTGAAGGTACTATACTCACATTCGACTAGAGATACTGAGGAAGACCACTAAAACGTCACTCAGGATAGCCGATGTCCCACCCGAACACCTCTCGAATACAAAGAGTGTTCACAAGTCACACCCTAGGATGGATACGCTTATGCTCGTTGCTTCGACACAGGCATCCAACAGAACGAGTAATGGCGGACGAACTTTCTAGTCCTCCAGAGCGACAATAGGATGTGACAAGAAGTCAGTGCTCATTGTACAAATCAGTCCCGAGACCGCTGAGTCTTCCTGCTTTAATAAGTTATACTATTTTCAAGTAATTGTAAAAGCGTTGCCCACGTACACATTAAATTACATCCTTTCAGAGTTCGGTAAGTTGGGTGCACTGGAATTGGATTTCGTTTATTTAATTGCAACCTCTGATTTCGCCCGTCTGCCCCCCCCCCCCCTCTCCAGCAGACAAACGGTGTTCGTGCTGGCAGCTGTATTCACAGAGGGTCTCGTCTTCACGGGGAGGAGTAAAGCAAACGATAAACGAAGGCTTAGTGGGTGTACACACAGCGCTTCTAACTTTAAGAATTAACAAGTGAACCAGCAGCGATTGTCATAGTGTTCCTCTCTATTTTGGTAAACACTCGTCTTTCAGTTCATATTACTTTGAACTTGCGGTCGACTAGTGTATCGTTAAAATGATGAATGAACGCTGCCTCATTCTGTACAACATTTCATTCATCTTAAGAAATATTTTTTGTAAACCATTTTCTGTGCCACGAACGAATTACATCGCTTTGTAACTGGTTCTTCCGTGTATGCAGTTGGCATGTGACTTTATTCATGAATAAAAATCTCCGCTGTCATCTCCATACAACGTCACAGAATTTTTAAATACGATAGGAGATACTGCTTTTCCAGTTTGCATGGGTCGAGGCTTGAAAATACTGAGGCTTCTGCTTTAAGCTAACCTTTGGAAACACCCCGCAAGGTTGGTATAGTTTTTTCTTAAATTTTTATACAAGTATAAAACAAACTAATATATATTTTAATGAAAAAGAGTTCAAAAGACTTTCGATGTGTAGATAATTGACCCATTTCTAGCTTTCCATATTCATGCCGCGTTATAACATTCATAATCCTTAATAGATGAATGGGACTTCCGAATGTTCTTTCACGTTCATAAATCTCGATTTATGCAATTAACGCACAGACATGACTTTCACATCAGTTAAATTACTCGAAAAAAAAAGTTGGATTTATATGTGGCTTTGAATGCAATTTTGTGACGGTAGTAACAGCGATAAAATCATTACAACGGCTCTGAATGTGCAGAAACCGGCTTAACCAGGAAAGCCTGCCCGGATCGTTACTTCCGTTTCCGGTAAATTAACAGTTGCATGTGATAAACGAATTCGGCGCCATTCACACAAATAATTTTGTTTCATTCCTATGTAGCTGTACAGAATGTGACAAAATCACAAAATATTGTATACATATAATTCTCTGGCAGTGATTTCAGTAACCACTTGTGGGTATGATAAATATATCAGGGGATCAGGTAATGACAGATACGTTTTGTGCATTTAAACAATTTTTTAGGAAAATTAACATAAAAAATATATATTGTTTCTTTCTGTTAATGTGTTATTTGTGGTCTGTCCCTGTTGAATACCTCATATTTACACCGTAGTCGTGAAACAGGACTTATGTCATGCATAAAGGATATGACATTAAAAAATTAATAAAAACATAACCTCAAAAACCCTCTTCAGACACTTACTAATAAGTGGGATAATAAAGAATTATGTGTCTAGTGGCGGAATTTTTGAACATGGCAACAAAAGTTTAGGTTTCATGAGATCAGGAAGGGAGAGAATTTAATGTAGGTTGGAGAAAAGTGCATAATTAGGAGCTTTGTGGTTTCCGCTATTCAGCAATTGAAGATTGGTTTTTCCAAAATGAGCTTATTCAGTTTTTGCTCGTATTTTGTTGTTGGCATAAACATGTTCCTTCTACAGTCTTGTATGTTCTGTTTAAATTGTGTGTTCTACACTGCAGTAAGTATCAGGTTAAAGGTAATACAAAATCAGGGAGTTTCCCACATTGTCCTGAGTCTGTGTTAAGTACACATGCATGACAGCCACTTTATTTCTGTAGCAACAGGTGACTGTTACAAATATGGAGACGAGCAAGATTGAAGAAGAAATGAATGCAGACAAAGCAAAGCAGTTACTTCATTCTCTAGAGGCAGATTCAGGTTGGAGGCATTGTCTTGTTAGCACTATAATGATAGTTCACAATAATGATTTGTGTTACACTAGATGCATAACATGGTTAGTATTTTACATTATATTTTCGTGTTATGTTATATTCTATAGTAAAATAAATATATGCAGCTACACATGTTTTTTGCTTTTCCTCAAAAATTAGTTTTTGACTTTATTTATTTTGGGAAAAAGAACGCTTTTGATTTAGGATCATATCCAGACGCTCAGTCCAAGGCCTCGTCTTTATTAACTTTAGAAGTAATTAAATTTGATTTTAGACTGTGTCACCTTTCCAGCACTGGGCTTTCAAATTTAATTTGCTGGGCAGTGACTGAATCTTTGTTGAATGTCAGTATGCTGAAGAGAGCAGCATATGTTCATGTCTGTCGTATGTGTTTCAGGAGGAAATGGAGGATCGGCCACGTATATCAACCCTCATCAACTCTCTGGCCAATTATAGTAACACAATCCCAGCAGCGACTGATCCTGATGCCAAGCCTCAGCCGAGTGCTCGCATGGGAACACTCATTGGTGTCTATCTGCCGTGCATCCAGAACATCTTTGGTGTCATCCTATTCATCCGTCTCACATGGGTCGTAGGCACTGCAGGCGCATTCATGGGTTTCCTCATCGTTTTGTGTTGTTGCTGTGTGGTCAGTTTTTCCTTTTTGCTCAGCTGTATTTGTTTCATTTAAGAGACTTTATTTTCTTACGATATTTTCGTTGTAATGTGTGTCTTTTGTTGTAGAAAAGAAACGCATGTTTTTAAGATGTTTATTTAGCTGATCTTCTTAAATGCCAAATAAATGAAGGCATTATGACACTGGTTTTTATTACATATTTTGTGTATTACATAATTAGAGGCTGATATTTATGGCAGGAAGGCAGTTTCATGATCCTATGCTCCATTTCACTAAGTTCTAGTAAGTTTTTTAACAGCGACTGTTCTTCGTTTGCTTTGACGTGAAAGGAAACAGTAGCTGTGATTATTATGTACTGAATTGGATCACTGTATTGTGTAATTATATAGTTCTTGCTGGTCTCACCAACCTAGATTGAAGTATTTGATATAACGAATCATAAATCTTTTTCTGAACTCCTTGTTTTCTTTTGCCATATTCCACTTTTGCCTCCTGTTCTTTAAATTTATTTAAGATGGAGTCAGTATGTTCCTTTAAGTGCTTTACAATTCAGAAAAATGTTGTGTTTGGTACTAAGAACATATCTTTTTTATATATCTTAAGCGTTCCTAGCTTTTCTTTCTGTGTGCTAAAAATTATAATGAAATTTTATTTCTCTGTCTGTGGGAAGAACAAATTAGCTGTGTATAAGAGAAAAGTGCTGAGGGGAATATTCATACGTAATCGAGATGAAGTAACAACACATTGGACAGAAATAGTTCTTAGTAAACCTGTTCTACTAATAATGGCAGTCAGTAAATCAAGGAGGATGACATAGTTGAGACTTATTACAAGCATAGAAAAAATTAGAAATTCTTATAATGTTCTGGTATAAAAACCTGATGTTTCAAAGGATTGTATTAATAGACATCTTAAAGATAAACGCTGCGATTGTGGAGTTGTTTAAGATGGTCGAGGATGGGGTCCAATGAGAGGAGTTTTTAGGGCTTTAGTCAATATCCAGGGTAGTCTGGGATGGTGTGCTTGTGCTATTATGAGTGTTTGCATGCTGCTGTGTCATGTCGTTCAAAGACGTCAATGTTAACGTAGGCTGCATAGTCTAGACTAGGGGGGTGTGTGCCTTGTATACATAGATATGGAATATGCCCCTATATAATCTTACAAAATGTATAGCATAAAAGTCTGGCAGAACAAAACATGCTTGGCTTCCAACATCTCTGTTTGAGATCTAAGCACTAATAATAAAGAATTGAATTGAAAAATGAAAGTGTTCTCATATTATGATTTACATCCATTTATTTCAACCTGCCTCAACAGTTTTATTTTTAGAACTACGCCTCTGGGTGTTTGTGAATCTGTTAATGATCTTTCAGGTTTCGTAAAAACATGGATTTAGTCAAGTGTTCCCACATACTGACTTTAGCATCATGTTACAGACAATGTTGACGGCCATTTCCATGAGTGCCATCGCAACAAACGGAGTTGTGCCTGCTGGAGGTTCCTACTTCATGATTTCAAGGTCACTGGGTCCAGAATTTGGTGGTGCAGTGGGAATGTTGTTCTATACAGGCACCACACTAGCAGCAGCTATGTATATTGTGGGAGCTGTTGAGATAGTTCTTGTGAGTATTGTCATGGCCTAGTGAAGGCGTAAGAATTTCCTCATGAAGACGTGGGATTATCTTTTAACACCACAGTGTTTTTGTTTTCTGACCATTCCTCATGTATCATGTAATTTCGTTACAGACGTATATGGCCCCAAGTTTATCCATATTTGGGGACTTCACCAAAGATGCGAGTATCATGTACAACAATTTTCGAGTCTACGGTACGGGCCTGTTGATGGTAATGGGCCTCATCGTGTTCGTCGGTGTAAAGTTTGTCAATAAGTTTGCTACAGTTGCGTTGGCCTGCGTACTGCTGTCTATCGTGGCTGTTTATGTCGGCATCTTCGTCAACTTCAATGGCAATGATAACCTCTTGTAAGTACTCTGACATGAACAGACATCAGATGTTCAGGCACTAAGAATGTTTTATTACTTAAAATAGGAATCCCTAACTTTGAAATAGGCACATGTATTTTCAAAATAGACACTGTGACTCTTATTACAAATTCTTCCTGATACTAATTACGATATAGAACCAGGAAAAGGCTGAGTATTAATATGATCTGTTGGAACAATACAAAATATGTGATACAAGTGTTGTCCATCATCGCGTAAGACCAGAAGCAGAAAAGTGTTACGTGGGTCATACGTACCTTTTTATTAAAGTATTGACTCAAACTAGAACACATTTACTATTGAATAACACTAACTTTAACACACAAATGCAAGTTTCAGAATGTGTTTTAACACACATTTACTTCTTCAAATGTGAATTTGTGAACAATGAATATGACAAATGACATACACCACAACCACTGCCACAATCACTTCAAAATCTCATTTATTATGATTTGTAACCACTGCCACAATCACTTCAAAATCTACATGTTTACTCATTTATTACGATTTGCTATAATTTGTACAATGTACAAATGTGTATGAGAAACTCAAAGTTCATAAAGGAACGTGTTATTAACACTTTGTACCGGAACTGTTCGATAACTGTTTAAACTGTCAAATATTCTGTGCCACAGAGTTTTAAGAGGTGTAGGAAAGATTTATAATTAGATTTAAATGAGAATTATTTACATTTGTTTATGAAACTCACAACAGTATTCAGAAACATATCATAATTCACACATAAATATTGATACATCTGTCACAATTCCAGTATTCAGAGGCATACAAGTTGATAATTCATATACATGTACAGTAGTTAACAGTTTACAGTTTAGTTTCATCGTCGATGATAGTCTTAATGCTCTTTGTCGTCAAAATAAGTTACTCCCGCCAGTTCACTCTCAAATTATATAAATCAAAACACTTTGCCAAGTACAGATCTAAGTTGCTCTAGCAGAAATATTCTGTAGTAAAAATCTTAGTGGATTTTCTGATTTGTTGTATTGTAGTTCCTTTTTTGCCCTGTCTGAGGATCTGAGTATAGATTTGGTTGAATTTCATTATCATCCACACTGTTCATGCATGGAGATCAGTGAATGGGCTCATCAGTATTTTTGTAATTCAACAAATTTAAAATTTATATTAATACTAATCATTCACAAAGTTTGCAATAGCTGCATCTGTACTAATGTCAGGTTGCGAGTGAGATGAAACCAGTTTTTATGTTTAGCAAGTGTGTCCTGATTTTTCAGCATGTGTGTTCTGGGAAAGCGTCTCCTCAAGGATATAAGCTTGGACGACTGCCACAAGAATTCGTCCGGCCCTCTTTATCAGGTTTTTTGTGGAAATTCATCTGCTAATGCAAGTTTATGTGATCCATATTTTGAGGCAAATAACATTTCTAAGGTTCGTGGCATCAAGGGCCTGTCTAGTGGAGTGTTCCTTGGTAAGTTGTATTATCATGAAATAAAGAGATTGTGACTTGAAACTTACTTTGAAAAGGAAAAACTTTTATTTAACCCTTTGGTATGGCTAGAACAGTAGAACATTATGAAATTAATTCTTTTTCTATGGCTCTCCGGTCCGTATTCGGTCCATGGCCTCCTCAATTCTCCTCTTCCATTCGGTCCTCTGTTAGGTCCATCTGTCCGAGGCTTTGATTGAGGTTTTAAAACATCTTCTTTTTACGGTGCAAGGTTGTTAGCCTTGCTACCAACCCCCAACCTGGAGAACCAGGGTACCTGTCTTAGTCTGACCTCTCCCCCTCGACCTATCTGGCTAGGGAGACCCTACCAGTAGCTATACTACCACCAGCATAGCTCTTGGGGTCACTGAGGTTCTCGAGCCTCACCACCACGAGAAAGTGCAGGTACCATTAAGTGGGGATAAAATTAATTATGTAATATAATTATCTGTATCCCACTTAATTAATTCTTAGAGCCAAACAAATTTCTTTAGAACTCTGGTTTAGAGTGCTTTTGAAAAAGCATGTTCTTTCCTTAGGGTGAGAAAACGTCTCATAACCATGTAAAACAATCAAAATAATTAGTACATATGTTTGTATGTAACTCCTTGACACTTTATAAATTACTTGAGATGATAAACATTTTGAGCAGTCAGTGATGATTTTTTTATTGAATTTCAGATAATATTCAAGACGGCTTCCTAGAATTGGGTCAGTTTATTGCACAGTCCAAGGATCCGGATGAAATAGAGCCACTGGATCGGCCAGTGTACAATCAGGTGTTTGCTGACATCACAACATCTTTCACAATTCTCATTGGCATCTTCTTTCCATCAGTCACAGGTATTCTAAAGAAACTCAAATTATTGTCTTTCTACGTGACTTCGATAAAATGACCTCCATTTGCGGACACCGTGTTCTGCGTATTGGTATGGCAGTTCATGAAACAATAAACAGCATACAATACAACTATGTAGACATGTGCATTGTATTTTCACTGAACTTTGTGCCACTTATGGAAGAAATATGTTTTATATTTTGCTTTGTGATGCATAGGAAACAAGTTCAAATGTTTTTAATCTTCTCTAGCAGATATTTGCAGAGTGAGCACAAAAGAACTCTATACATTCTAAAAGATACAGAAAACAAATGTGACCTACTTAGAACTTGATACGTGCTCCACAGGTCACATGCCAGATGTTGAGTTGATAATCCAATTCGTCCCTAACTTGTGCATTGTGTCCCTAATAATGTGAAGCCATGGCATTTCTGATTTGAAATTGTGTATGAAATGCACGTCACACAGCTGTTACAGACTTTCTTACCTCTCTTCTAAATGCAGAACACACCAACTCCTCTGTTGTGAGTTAGCCATTTTCAAAATTATTGCCATCTAGCAGAGGTGTGCTGTAACAACAATCTCCTGGGTCATTTTAATTAAAACTTTGAAAGTTTTCCTTTTGACTGGTGTGGGTATAAATTTCTAAATATTCCACGTTTGTTTTCTATATCATTTCAAAAGTGTGAAGTTCTTTTGTGCTCACTCTGTATACTGTGATCTGTGGTTATGAATTAGATGGAGCTAAAGAAGTCGGACTACGACCATGAAAAGATTTATTTAATTTTGCCTTTTGTCTTAGGTATCATGGCTGGTTCCAATAGATCTGGTGACTTAGCAGATGCTCAAAAATCAATTCCCGTGGGCACTATATGTGCCATCCTGACCACTTCAACAGTGTACCTGTCAGCTGTGTTGCTGTTTGCAGGCACTGTGGACAACCTTCTGCTCAGAGACAAGTAAGTACTCCTGTTTCATCTAACTATTATACAACGATCTATATCTGTCTCTTTAACACTTACTGAAACTCAGGGGGGAAAAAAAGAGACTGTGAGTTAGCATCTGACAAAACTGAAAAATTCAGGGAAATGTTCAAGGCTTGAAGTCATTTTCTTTGCTTTCTTTTGCCCCATGTCTTGTGATTCATATGTCCTAAAATCAGGTCGTCGATAGTTTTCATTAATAATACAAAAACCGTATAGTAACCAGCTTTACCCTTCTTTTGGACTCACCTCCTTAAACCGTTCCTGCGTAAGTTAATATTCTCTGCCATAGCATTAGAAAAGGTTTGCATTTTGTTCCTTTATTTTAATAAGACCTGCAGCTTGTCGTGGTGGTGGGGCTGAGTACCTCAGTGACCCCAAGAGCTATGCTGGCGGTAGCATAGCTACTGGTAGGGCCTCCCTAGCCAGATTGGTCGAGAGGGAGAGGACAGACAGACACGTACCCTGGTCCTCCAGGTTGGGGGTTGGTCGCAAGCCTAACAACCTTGCACCGTAAAAAGGAAGATGTTTCGAAACCTCGATCAAAGCCTCGGACAGACAGACCTAACAGAGGACAGAATGGAAGAGGAGAATTGACAAGGCCGTGGACCGGAGAGCCATAAAAGAAGAAGAAGATTTTAAATAGACCTGTCAGGCAATTAACTAACTTCATGGTGGTTCAGAAAATGAGTGAGTAAAACAAAATGGTAAAGTCTGCATTATAGTTCTAATAGGTTTGAGAGAGGAGTAAGTTTGTACATTGTCAGAAGATCCTGTTACAGAGGCCCAGTCGGCTGCGTGATTCTCCCCCCTACCTCCACCCACAGTGACATCAATATGTTGCATGTGTTGACTTGTGGAAGCTCTCGCCAGCTTCTAAATTGCGCCATACTCACTTCTGGCTGATGGTGGAAAGAACTGAAAATGCATCATAGCTTCAAGAACAAGTGCGAGACTTTTCAGTAGCCAAAGCTTAGCTCTGCACAGTGTATCTAAGTTCATAGAAGGTCATGGTTGGGAGGACAGTGGATTAATGTGACACGAGGATTGCTGATGTGGTGATGAGCGTAATAGCGGTGGAGTCATGAGAAGTGAACTCATAACCAGAGTGGAAGTAATTCATAGCTAAGATCTTCAAATCAAAGAATGACTGAGGAAGTGAAGGAATGAGGAGGAATCGAGGAGTCAGTACCTGGTACAGGAGGTTTGTTGGTGGATTTTCTGACATCTTGAGACCATTGATCCAACTCACAGAAGAGAAGCGGACATAGAAGTGATCCCTGGAGACACTTTCTGGTCACTGCTGTGTATGGTACCTATCTTAGGATGCCTGTGGTCAGGCAACAAGTTTGTCATGGACATACATGCAACTAATGACAGAACTGGAGTTGTATTTTCATAAATATAGGATGACCAGGAACAAATAGCTTTGCGAGAGCCTTTCCAGGACTGATAAAAACTATTATGTGACTCATTGGGAATTAGCGTTTATTTTGAAGACGCTACAACACTTCGACGAAATGCTCTGTGGACAAGAGTTCCATCTACGTGCATACCACTGCACCCTGACCTGGCTGCTTAATTTCAGAAACCTGGAAGGGCAAAGAGCTTGCAAAATCCAGCATGTCCAGGAATACAACTTTTCATTCAAACATTGTCAGGGTTTGAAACACACCAATGCAGATTCCGTTTGTAGAAGGCCATGTGCAGGGTTGTGCAATTTTAATAACAGGCAGGTGGCGTGAAGCTACGAGTCTTTACTACAGCTGCTGCTGTGGGTGGTTGGGACCATGCTACCTGGAGGAATGATTCAGTCACTGACCACTTTCAGTCAAAAAATTCTTTCCTTTTATGCAACTCAAATGTTCATTATCACATTCACCAAAGTCCAACCTTGAACTCATTGTGAGCCAGTTCAATCATGTCAGTGCTTCACAACCTCTCTTTGTAAAAGTCCGTTTTTATCGTGTTCTGCCATCTATGTGCAGTTCTCGTAAACGGTCTCTTTCCTTTACGCTTTTGGTCCAAAATGTTGTATTAATTTTTCATTTCTTCCATGTGTGCTGCATTTCGTTAGCCTCAATTTAATTATCCCAAAAGTATTAAGATAGACCTGAAATCTTGAAGCTTTTCGTTATACAATTCCCTTCTTTAAGCCGTTAACATTTTTTTTCTTTTGTTCAAATATATATTATCCTAAGAATTTTTTTCCCTATATTGTCTTTAGCTTTACTACCCAAGTGTTTGCAAACATTACCATTACTTCTTTGTAATTGATAAGTTGTATATTATAACAACATCCCTTTAAGCTTTACAGCAACTCTGTGCAGTGTGATGACAAGAAAACTTTTTGTTGTCGTAGGTTTGGTCAGAGCATTGGTGGGAAGCTCGTGGTAGCAAATGTAGCTTGGCCTAACCAGTGGGTCATCTTGATTGGCTCATTCTTGTCTACACTTGGTGCGGGATTGCAGAGTTTGACTGGTGCCCCTCGATTACTTCAGGCTATCGCCAAAGATGGTATCATTCCGTTTCTGGCGCCATTTGCCGTGTCATCGCGACGAGGAGAGCCGACACGAGCCCTCATTCTCACGATCCTCATTTGCCAGTGTGGCATTCTGCTGGGCAATGTGGATTACCTGGCACCACTCTTATCCATGTTTTTCTTGATGTGTTACGGCTTTGTAAACCTAGCCTGCGCTCTCCAGACACTACTTAGAACGCCTAACTGGAGGCCCAGGTTCAAGTACTATCATTGGTGAGTCATGGAAATTTATTGCTATAAGATGAATATCAGACTGACCAATTGTTATATTGTTCATCTGCATTATATTTGCCTATATGTATACCCAGTGGCCAAAATGCTGGAGGTCCCACCGAGATATGAACTCGGATTGCTGGATTCAAAGTCCAGAGTGCTAACCGGCACATTGCATGTCTGCGTGTAGGTATTTTTAATGTCCAGTTTTAATAATATGAAACAGGTATGCCAACCTCTCTACTGTAATATTTGCTAAATTACTTATGTGCTTTACATGTGTACACACATTTGAAAAACAGTAAAATTGTGAAGAACCTGATGAGCTAATATGATGTATGCGACATGATTTAATGCAGGATTGGAAACATTGAACTGAATTACTGCATCCCTGTTTTAACTTTTTCTTTCATGCTGTTTTTTATTTCCTGCATCAATATTATCACAACATTCTGAAAATTTCTGTTTACATTGAGCATTAGAGACATTCACAGTGAGTGGTATA